AACATCTATACTTGTGTCTGTCTATCCATCTATGTATGTGTGTATCTATCTGTCGCAATCTCTCTCTCTTTCTCTCTCTATATTTTCTTGTTATAAAGTGGTCGTATAAAAATCTGTTTAACTTTTTTCTTTCATTTTTCTTTCTTTCTTTCTTTCTTCCTTTGTTTGTTTGTTTGTTTGTTTCTTTCTTTCTTGGATGCTTCCTTTTTTAACTGACACGCAAACTGTTTCTATCTATCTATCTATCTATCTATCTATCTATCTATCTATCTATCTATCTATCTATCTATCCCTGTCTCTTCGTATCATTCATCTATCTATCTATCTATCTATCTATCTATCTATCCCTGTCTCTTCGTATTCATCTATCTATTCATCTATCTATCTATCTATCTATCTAACTATCCCTGTCTCATCGTATTCATCTATCTATTCATCTATCTATCTATCTATCTATCTATCTATCTATCTATCACGTTTTCTTCAGATTTATGTGTGTTAATCTCTACATCTCCTCCTCTTACTCAGTATTTCTTCCATACTGTCTCGTTCTATCGTTTTAATCTTAAGCATGTCGCTAAAATGCTTTTAAATCGTTCTTATAGCCTAACATCATCATCAGCACTTTCATTTTTGATGCAGATTTTATTCTGCATGCTGGAATTGAAGAGATGAAAGTGCAGAGACTGTACTTTTCTCCTTGGAGTTCACTTGCTTTCCAAACACTCATGCCTTTTTTCGAATAACATTAGTTGTATCATGTGTTTTCACACAATTCAGTCGGTTACCTTTCACAGGGGAGTAAGTAATAGAAAATCTCTTCACTTCTCACTTCGAGAATTCTGTTGTAGATTAGCTTATGATAATAATAATAATAATAATAATAACAACTATTATTATTATTATTATTATTATTAGTAGTAGTAGTAGTAGTAGTATTCACTTATTGAAGAGTAAAGCCCTAGGGAACAAGTTGCTGACATTAGAAATATTTTATTTCTAATAAGTCACTTTTATATTACCCTATTCTAACTGCATTCAATAACTCTTCTACAACTACTATTACTACTACTACTACTACTACTACTAATAATAATAATAATAATAATAAGAAGAAGAAGAAGAAGAAGAAGAAGAAGAAGAAGAAGAAGAAGAAGAAGAAGAAGAAGAATTAAAGAAGTGAAAAAGTTGGCATAGAGGAATAATTAAAGTGGGAGAAATGAAGAAGGAGAAGAAGAAAAAGAATTAAGGAAGAAATGAAGAAGTTGGTATAATGTAATAATTAAAGAAGAAGAAGAAGAAGAAGAAAGGAAGAAGAAGAAGATAATTAAAGTAGGAGAAAAGAAGAAGAAGAAGAAGATAATTAAAGTAGGAGAAAGGAAGAAGAAGAAGATAATTAAAGTAGGAGAAAAGGAGAAGAAGAAGAAGATAATTAAAGTAGGAGAGAAGAAGAAGAAGAAGAAAAGAAGAAGAAGAAGAAGAAGAAGAAGAAGAAGAAGAAGATAATTAAAGTAGGAGAAAAGTAGAAGAAGAAGAAGAAGAAGAAGAAGAAGAATCGACGAGAAATATCAAAAAGTGTCAATAAGAAAAATAAAAACTATTATTATTATCATTTCCTCTTCCCTTATAGTTATTGATGCGCGTCTCAATGAAGTCGAACTGACTGAGATTTGGCTTAATACACCCGGACTCTCCTCAGTATTTTAGCGAATCTATGCAGTAATCTTTTTGTGGATACTCTCATTTCGCCACGTGACATCTATTATCTCTATTGTTGTTGTTGTTGCGGCATCACAGCAATGGTAACAGTTTGTTGACTCAAGAAATAAAGTGACAACAAGTCTATTCTTGGATATTCTATTTGCTTACAGGATTAACGATCGAAATAACAATAATAATAATTATTTATTTTTTTGCTGTTGTTATCATTTATGCTCGTAGTTTTTAATGAACTCCAAGTGATCGAAAGTTTCATCAATAAAACAAGACTTTCCCCTAACTAGATATTCTAATTTTGCCGCACCACCTTTATTTTCTCTATAATTGTATTTTTATTATTATTATTATTATTATTATTATTATTATTATTATTATTATTATTTTTATTTTTATTATTATTATTATTATTATTATTTTTATTTTTATTATTATTATTATTATTATTTTTATTATTATTTCCTTTGATTCAAACATTATCTTCCAAGTCCAAACCTGAGATCTAAGATCAGAGATTATTATTATTATTATTATTATTATTATTATTGCCGTTATTTTTGTTGTTGTAAATCATGACCCCAGAAATCGTATCAAATAAGGTTTGCTGTAAATTATGTGGCAAAATTTCATTACAGTCGCCAGCAGTGTGTCTATACCCTTGCACCGAAGTTAACTGACTCCTTTCCAGGATTTCCTCGTCTCTTTTGATCTTCTTCTTCTTCTTCTTCTTCTTCTTCTTCTTCTTCTTCTTCTTCTTCTTCTACATCTTCTTCCTCTTCTTCTTCTTCCTCTTCTTCTTCTTCTTCTTCTCCTACTTCTACATCTTCTTCTTCCTCTTCTTCTTCTTCTTCTTCTTCTTCTTCTTCTTCCATTGCTATTATTATTATTATTATTATTTTTATTATTATTGATATACGTTTGTTGTGTTCTTATTATCGAAGACGTTGGAATGTGGCAATAGTGAGGAGTATCGTGTTATGTATGTGATATACATTATTATTATTATTATTATTCAAATCTTTGTTGAGTATTGATTTAAACTCTACAAAATCCATTAGTAATCACATATCAATTATTATGCAAATATCTTCCATCATTAACAACAATAAAATCTGATAGTGTCGTTGATAATACTAAGTGCGTTATTCCAGCTAGCAGTAATATTATTGCCATTGGTAATACTGATGATAATAGGGCGTTGTTCTGTCTTAAGTGTTATTGGTAGGAAGGAAGTTGAATGTTGATGCTAATAAAAGGAAGAAGTAATGTACACGTGAATGGGAGGAGGGAATGAAAGATAAATAACGGGAATGGATGAAGACTATTAGAAAGGGTTGACCAGTAACATAAGGAGCTGAGATGGAAGAATAAGCCGACGATGTGGAGGAAGATATGATGAAATGACAATAATGATTATTATAAAGAGTTGGCAAGTATCATAAGGAGCTGTGATGGAAGAAGAAGAACAGCAATAATAGGAAGGATAGATAGATAGATAGATAGATAGATAGATAGATAGATAGATAGATAGATAGATAGATGAAGCACCTGACATAGATAGATAGATAGATAGATAGATAGATAGATAGATAGATAGATAGATAGATAGGTGAAATACCTGTTATAGATAGAGAGAGAGATAGATAGATAGATAGATAGATAGATAGGTGAAGCACCTGACATAGATAGATAGATAGATAGATAGATAGATAGATAGATAGGTGAAGCACCTGACAAAGATAGATAGATGATAGATAGATAGATAGATAGATAGATAGATAGATAGATAGATAGATAGATAGATAGATAGGTGAAATACCTGTTATAGATAGATAGATAGATAGATAGATAGATAGATAGATAGATAGGTGAAATACCTGTTATAGATAGATAGATAGATAGATAGATAGATAGATAGATAGATAGATAGATAGGTGAAACACCTGTCATAGATAGATAGATAGATAGATAGATAGATAGATAGATAGATAGATAGATAGATAGGTGAAACACCTGTCATAGATAGATAGATAGATAGATAGATAGATAGATAGATAGATAGATAGATAGATCTGGAGTCTGGTTGAAATGAGTAAAAAAGAATCGGTGGCAGAAGAACTGCAACCATATTAAATGGCAAAATACTGAGGAGAGTGCTAAAGTTAAAGCCATCATATTCGCATGCAAACACCTTGTTCTTGACAATTAATTGTTACGAAGAGTAAGGGGATTGCACCATTTTTTTTCCAATTTAATACTCTTGTAATTTCAAAAAAAATAAATAAATAAATAAAATAAAATATATAAGTATCCTAACGTGGTCATCCCCAATCGAAAGCCACCATATAATCTTGGTATATACATATAATAATAATAATAATAATAATAATAATAATAATAATAATAATAATAATGCAAATTTGGGACGATTTAGAAGATTAGTAGACAGAGTTGATAAGTGACATAAGGAGCTGAGATGAATGAATGAATGAATGAAGAAGAAGAAGAAGAACAACAACAAGAACAACAACAACAAGTACAAGAACAAAATAGATAGATAGATAGATAGATAGATTCGAAGAGACAGAGATAGATAGATAGATAGATAGATAGATAGATAGATAGATAGATAGATGTGATCAGATTGATATATATATATATATATATATATATATATATATAGATAGATAGATAGATAGATAGAAGAGATAGATAGATAGATAGATAGATAGATAGATAGATAGATAGATAGATAGATAGATAGATAGAAATATCTTGGTATATTCATATAATAATAATAATAATAATAATAATAATAATAATAATAATAATAAAATAAAAGGATCTTGAAGCAGAAATCCAAAATTGTGGCACATAGGGACATCAACAATTCCAATTGTAGTTGGAGCCCTCGGATTGATTGGAGAAGATTCTGATAGACGCATTAAAATTGTTCCTAATAGACCATGCCTTAAAGAAATAGAAAAAATCATATTCGTACGTATCGCTCACATATTTCGAAGAGCTTTATCTATTTAAAATGTGTTATCAGACTTTTATTTTTCTTTTTTTTTTCTTTTTGACCAATATGATCAATGAAAATTTATGTTTGGGACCCGGAAGGAAATGAGTAAACGACAAAAATCCAAGGAAATAATAATAATAATAATAATCGTATGGATTATTGCAAAGATCTTTGATAGTTTGTGGATACTTGTTGTCACTTGATTGCCGTGAAAATCTCAACGTTTTATTGCTGCCTCATCTCCAGAAGTTAAAAAATGACATTAAGGTGGTTAACATAACATTCTTGAAAAGAGACGACCCTTAAGTTGATAAGGAAGACTATTTTGAACCCAAAACGACAGCCATCGTTAAGC